CAAAGAGGATCATGCCTAAAATGGGGTCTTGGAAAGGTGGCAGAATGGATTGGAAGATGGCTGGAAAACAAAAAAAAGAGCAACTTCTTAGACTGACTGTAAGTAGAAAATGGTGTACACGGGGATCCAATTGTATGGTCATTACTGCTCACCGTGTGTGTGATTCTACATATTAAGTTAGGGTAGTTGCACCTGCGATTTTTATTAATAGGTTTGATTTATTTCATAATTATCACATTAAATCAGTTTAAACATTCCCATTTTCTCCACATTGTTGCATATTGTACCTATTGTGGCTTACCTTATTAAGTTAAGGTGAAGTTTTTATTATGTCTGTACAGATGAATAAGATTTAACATTACAGATAGATTAATTCTCCTTCCATTCCCCCTTTTTGGCCCCTGTTCTCAGAATACTTTCTCTGTTCCCTCCTTTTTATTAGTTACAGCTGTTTTTTTGTGCTACACCTGTCCTCTATTGACCTTGGATTTTTGGCAGTCACCCAAATTACTATCCAATTCCCTCAACTTCCCTTGATGTTGGACCCTGGGCCTCACCCAATAAAGTACCCTCTTTTATTGCCTCCTATAGCAGTCCCTATGTATATTTAATATACTCATGTGCATCCTTTGTGGTAGATTGTTACTTTCTTTCCAAGCATATAATTTTCAGCAATGTGTTGATCAATTTACACTGGGGGTTGTCTGGCTGCTTCAATTTATTCTTTATTTGTTCAACCTCCATATACTACATGACTAAGCTATCATCTATATGGGATGATAGAATTTGGTGCAAAACAAATTGCCTTGTCCCAGCTTCACTACCAATGGAGCTTTTTGCGTTATGCATCTCAGTACAGTACTTTGTTTCCGTTAGGAGTACTCTGTTACAAGCCCTTGCTGGGAAAGAAAAAGGTCGTCACTGTAAACTTTTGACATAAGGTACTGTAAAAATGCAAGTTCTTTCTACTACTTAATCGTTTAAATGTAGGTTTCTTTTGGCTATCCATGGGTTGATGTTGTCAGTAGGGTTGGCATGAAATCCTGTGGTATTGCAAGTCGCTCTATAGAAAGATACTTATTTGCTGCTGTCTGAAGTAAATCTCATTGCTTTGACTTCTGGATCAATTCTGTCTGGTTCCCTAACCTTTTGAATGAAACCTTTAGGTTTACATTAATGGAACATAAATATAGATCTGGCAAATAGAAGAATGCAGACTTAATCAAATAGTTTCTTCAAGTTCCATATGAGTGAGATGCTGATTGAATGACAGGGTGTGATGAAATGAAAGTCCAGGTCAGCCAGCCTTTTTACACATTTACTCCTGGAGGTTTCAAATCAGAATAGTATTTAGACATACTTTTAGCATAATTTTGTATTCAGAATTTTGATTTCTTGAATCCTGATAAATTCTTGGAATTGTCACAGTGGTCTTAATAAACTAATTCCTAAGAGTAGTGATTTCTTTCCCCTTGTGTTTTTGAATAGAATTTCCCAATTGTAAAGATTTAGCAGGAAATGTTATTATTTTAAACCCCACCCCACACAATTCTTCAATGTCTCCTATAGTGTGGTGTATTTCAACTATGATACTTTATGCTCTTCGAACTACTGACATTTTTATTTCTGGATCCACAATGCTGAATAAAGAGAGCTAAAAGAATTATACTTTATTTTTTACTTGTGCAGCCAATGCTAGAATGTCCCCCCTCCTCCCCCCACACTCCCACCCCAGGTTATCTATAGTAATTTTTTTTGAAATATGGGAACTTGCTGGTATGCAAAATACTTGATTATATTCAAAATTATAATAGTTTAAAAACTCTTAAATGCTGACCTGTGAGAACGAAACAAATCTCATGAGGCAGATTTAGCACATTAAGCTGCTGCAGGCTCAAGTGGCTAAATTCCAGATTTGATTATGGGATAATTATAGAAAACCTTAGAGAAACATTATATGGAGGAAAATATTACATGGGCAAAAATGTGGATAAAATACCAGGACTATTAGCTACCTTAAGAATGTTTTAAAGCTCTTTAACTTGTCAGTTTTCTTCTCTTCCTCTCCCGAATACAGTATTTAACTTTTTCCTTCCATTGGAAGGTGCCTCTGTTGCTTTCCACACATGAATAGCCTCATTGAATCTTCATCTGAATGATGGTTGTGGGGATGAGTAGAAGAGGGTGAGAAAAATAAATATTGTCTTCATTTAACATGCAGTTTTCAGCAGGGTCGCTGGTTAGTGATCAGAAATAGGCCAATATATGGAATTCAACCTAATTATTTATTTTAAAACTCCAAATTTAAATTTACTGTAAAATATAACACATTGATGTGGTTGTTGAGATAGTTTCAATTGCATCTACTTGCTTTCCAAAATGATAATTCAGAAGGAATGCTAGTAATGCAAAAGAATGATTTTGTAATTGGAATGGCACCTTAAACCTTGTCCTTTTGTCATTGCTAGATGTTATGGTTTTATTTTCATCTACTTTTGGGAATCTACGTTTTATGACATAAGTGTGTTTATTATTGGAGTGTGTAAATTATATAATTCAATGTATTAAGTATGTGTAATGTTCTATAGACATATGTCCCAAGGAATAAATATAAATAATTTAGAAACCACCGCGATTAAAAAGTAGTAACGGTGTTTCTGCATGGAAAGCTTGAATGTCAGTTGTAACATTTGTTCAATTTAATTAACATGTTTTGGTGGGTGTTTGTAATGATTTTGCTTTTCAATGTATATTTACTGTTTGAATCCTGGAAACAGAAATGGTTGACCCTATTTGCAGCAACAGTAAAGAGTATGGCCCTTTCATTTGTATTCATATTCAAAAGTGTTTCAACAAAAAAGGTGTTGTAACAAAATATTAACTTAAGAATTTAGGGGTTACATTGCAGCTGTGAATAAAACATAAGGGGGTTCGTGAGTCAGTGAATACTGAAAAAAATGAAATAGCGAACTGTTTCCAGATATAGTAGTAGTGCACTTTATTCTGTTGACTTGCAGGCTGTAGTTCCAAACCATATGAAATGACTGAATGGGAATTTTTGTTTGGAGGCTTAAAGTGGGAGAAAAATACAATTTCAGACACTGCACAGAAATATTTTACCCCACATAATTTAATTCATGAGTATGAATAGAAATGAGGGCTTTCCAAAATGGAACTTTGCAGCTTAAAATATGTTGACTAACTACATTATGCTGCAATTGATTGATTATAATTGATTCTGCCCATTAGACTGAAAATGTAACTCATCTGAAGACCTATGTTAATTTAAATGGCTGCATAATCCATCTGTATCTTCACATAAAAGGAGAGGCATGGTAATAGCGGCTGTAACCTACAATTATTTCAAGAAAGACAGAGAGAGTAGAAACATAGTCTTGTATGACACCTTGCATGTAGGATAGGGTCTTGATGCGCTTCACAGAAATGGAGTGGGAGTTTGAGCAGGGTAGAGGATGGAGAGATGTTGGAGGGAGATGATTCAAAGTTATTTTGAAATCACAGACATTTTGGCATTTCTCCAAGTGAGGTCCGAATGGCTGTGCTACACCAATGATAGTGAGGCTGTCCACCCTCTGATCTCCTACAGTCCCACTACCCCCTGGGACTGCAGGAGATCAGAGGGCAGAGGTATTTAAATGTTAGAATGAGGATCCTGAAATTGATTAGCTTGGGAATGGGGAGCCAGTGGAGCTTGTCGAGAATGGTGTGATGCATCTATGGAGCATAATATTAACTAGTAAGCAGACAAATTTTTTATAAACTTGTGGGCTTTGTGCAAACCATGTTTTGCCTTCCATGGACCACAGTTGCACCACTTGTAATAATTTTAGCATTCTTTTGGAATTTCCAAAATCATCATTTTGCAGACCTTTTCAGTATTCTGATGTTTTATATAGTTGGTTAACTTGCAATTCTGTTATGGTGCATATGCAGAAAAATTAGGAAAAGCCTGGAAGACTTCCACTTAAATTTTTAAAAACAAGTTTCTCATTTATAAAAACTAACTTGTATTTATTGTTATCATGGAAGTGTGTACCTAAAAGGAGTGTGGGGAGCACTTAGGTTCAAAAGTATTGTTCAACCACTCTTTCAAAAGTTAAGTCGTTTTGTATAATTAGAGGCAGAACTAAACTCATTTGTGACTGAAATTATTTCAAAATGATGATGTGATCTAGATCCTTTATGCAATCCACCAGCTCGCTTACAGAGAGAAAACACAACCGTTGTATTGTTGATAAGACTATAGGTATCAGTGGCAGGATGCACAATTCCTGTCAGGTTATCATTCGTTATGTTCAGCCATTGAGTCAAATAAAAATTTCTGTTTGAAACCATAGGTCTTGCATTAGCAAATTATAAATTTTATTGATAAGAACAGCATAACAATCTAGTATGACAAGTTGAAACAGTTCAGGTTCTTCTGTTGGTGTACATTGGATTTGACCTACTTTGAAATCTAGAGCAATTTTGAGGATCTCCTTTGTCTGGTTACATTGAATAGTGTAGATATGCTGTTACCGATTGCAATGAGAAAAGATTACCACTTGGTAAATTTGTCAACTTTATGAGTATTCTCTATGTTTTGATCAGTTTATCAAATAGCAGTGAATAATATGTGCTGAAATTAATACATTTACTCTGGTATAGTTTCACAGACGATGGCCATCCTTGAGCTCCTTGCCCAAGCTGCTATTCTTAATGTATAAGCCTTGGTGGTCTGTGCCTACCTCAATGCTTACTAGGCTTTTTGTATTGGATGATTATATGACTACTGTTTACTTATCCCAACTATTTTTTGTGACTGAAAGAGGCTGCATAGCAGTGAGAAATTCTTTGTGTAAATTATTGAGGGTAATAAAGTGGAATTTGTTTTAAAAGAAACATTTCTACCAATAATTACTTTCTCAATTGTTAAAGAAAAACAGAAATTTGCTTTGTTCAATGAAGTCTATTTACTTTATTCTGTTCATCTATTTTAGCCGGCAGCAGGAAATAGAAGAAAAGCTTATTGAAGAAGAGACTGCAAGGAGAGTGGAAGAACTTGTGGCGAAACGTGTAGAAGAAGAACTTGAGAAACGAAAAGATGAGATTGAGCGTGAGGTCCTCAGGCGAGTCGAGGAGGCTAAGCGCATTATGGAAAAGCAGCTGTTGGAGGAGCTTGAACGACAGCGACACGCTGAGCTTGCTGCACAGAAAGCCAGAGAGGTAACGCTCGATCGTTGGAAAAGCAAACGACAGTCCATGGCAAAACTTTCAGTCATAATCAATGGTCACCACTTAATCATCATCGTTAGATGGAATCGGAATGATCTCTTCCCTTTTCCAGCAGCCTGCAATATAACAATATGTTGTTCTTTTAAAAGTTGCATTTCTTTTGATGTACACATAATCTACACTTTAAACTTCATAATAGTATAAGATGCTGAATGTACTATTTCATTAGGCTACATCAAGCATTGTTCTGTGACGTTTGCTGTTTAAATTTAAAGAATTTGGGGGCAAATAGTACTAATAATGCACCAGACTATCAGTACATGTTGAAAATCTCTTTCCACACTTTAGTTTAATTGAAACTTTTGCCATGGCTGCAGACTTTGAATTACTTAACCGTGCAAAAAATCTTTTTTAAGGCTGTTTGGTCTAACAATTTGCCCTTCATTTGTATAATCATGCTGTATTCCATCCTGTCTCCAAGTGGCTTTGTCTTCCTTTTGCTGAAGCAGGGCAAAGTACCTGCGCTGCAATGCCTGCTTTGGGCAAGTGGTCTTTTTAATGTCCAGTATAAATGAGATTAAGAAGGGGTAACTTGATCATTAGGATTCTGACATCAGCCTCCATTTTATTCAAAGGAGCCTTGTGGGACTGGAACCAGTCCTTTATAATCTACCTCCAGCGTTTAGTTATAAGTACCTTTTCCTCCCAAGAGAATTATTGATGACTGGTGAGTCCAGACTTAATGTGAAGCTAGATGTCCTGTATGTTTTTAAGCTTGCTGAACAAGAAACTGAAAAATGTCTTCCTGTGAAATGGTGATTTGCTACTATATTGAGTTTTGCTGACACTCATCACCTCTGGTTTCTGAAATGAAATACTCAAAAGTCTTGCAGAGCAGTGCAGTGTTTAGCCATCCATAACAACTTCCAAAAATCTAACATTAACCCTTTGACCATTGAATTTCTTAGTAGCTTCCCAATGTACACATTTTCTGTCACAATTTTTTATAAATATGTATATACATTTCTAATGCTGGACATCATTTCATAGAATTAGAGAAATGTGAAGAGGCCAAATATTGCTCCATTTGCAATATTCCAAGAAGAAATTAAATGTAAGTTTTAAATTATTTTCGGCATAATAATTTTACGAGGACTTCAAAGGGTTAGTGATTAGTTCATATTTTTATTGCTGTTAATATCATACCAGCTATAATTTTACAAGTAACATCACCTGCATTTTTGGCTACATTGCCCTAAAACTCATTTTGCAAGTTTCATAATTGTAAGGTTCCTGAAATTAACCTGCAATTACACATTTGTCTGCAGAAGTTAAGCAAAGGAACATTTATGGTGTTTAGTTTGTCTGTTGGAATCAAAGACTTATTTTCATTTCAGAATGCTGTATCTATTGTCTTCAAGGGAGAACCCACTTTTCCCTCTCTACAATTAATGTAGACACTAGCATCATAGTTTTAGGAAATTAATGAAAAGTTGATGTATGTGCTATTTTTCTAAAACTGTGAAGCGCCTTTAGTGTGACTTTACATTATTCTACTGTATTATACATTGTATTGCAGTTAGTGTTTCTTTTTTAATGTGCTATCAGTTTTGTTTTCACACACTTATCTAAGCCAGAGTTGTAAAGAATTCAGAGTGTATTGATTATAACATACTGTAAAATAATGACTATTGTATTATGATTTGCACTCTTGCTTGTATTCAGGTTATTTAAAATTCCAGGGTTGATGTGTGTCAGCTTGTAGCATGTTACTGATCAGAGTAAGATTTTTTTCTCTTTAATGTATCTACCAATAGTTTTGCTTGGCTTCATGTTAACATTGTCATCCAACAGACAAGGAGTATATTTTCAGGCCCGTTCACAGTACTGAAAACTTCATTTTTCCGTTCTGGGCACGCTGCAGATTGTTTAATTTCAAGTACTTGAGAGGCATTCTATTTTTCCATTCGGATTCTGTTTTATAAAATGGGGTGATCTGTGGACAGATTGGACTTTAGAGTTGTGACACTAAATTTGCCACTGCATCTAGAAACATGACACAAGCTTAATATGAAGTAGATAGTATGATTTTAGGAAGTCAGTCTAGTTTATTCAGCGAATGAATGCCTGTTGGACTTGTAGAACAGCAAACAATTTCTCAGAAAAGTTATTGGATAATTAGCAGCTTTGTATCATGGTTTGACACCCTCACCAATTAGTATAGTGATTGCAGACTCTGATATGATGAAGGTACGTGTTCTCAGAACGGAACAAATCATCATTTCTTCCTACTGTGAAAGAGGTCCTCAGTTCCACAAAAGGATCAATTGAAGTTTGTATTTTTCACTAACAGTAAATGTATCTTTCTTATTAATTGTTTGCCTTAGGAATGGTGATTTATATTGTTTCTTCTTACCGTAAACATCTGCATTCCTCAGCTCAGCCTGCGTTGTGTTGTGTTTCTTGTTATTGGCTGAGCTGCTGATGCAGGTGTTGCCAAGCTAACAGTACAAATCAGTTTAAAGAGGAAGCTGGCGCATATGGCAGCCGAGGAGCACACTCTGCAGGACACTGGACGAGACAGTAAATATTCAACTTTTAATGCTGATTAATGGAGTTATAGGTAAAGAATACGTAGGTATTTGTAATTGGTGAGAAAAATCTATTTATTTTATTTTTTTATTAATGTAATGGATAATGTTTCTGTAGCTGTTGTTGTATTATGTGTGCTTTAAAACAATTCAGTAATAACTATCAGCAAGCCTGACTAAAGAGGGTTTGGATCATTGCTGTTTGAGGGCTGGGAGGGGTGAATTAAACCCAGAAAGAGTTTAAGTAGGGGCAAAATAGTTCACATGAATGATTGGCAATAAAAGGTGGCTGTCTTGGGCATAGTCAGAGCAAGAAAAAAAATACTAAAGGGAAGAAACAGCTAGTCTAGATACAATTTTAAAGTAGCTTCTTTCTTTTAACATCTCATTGTCTCCTACTTAGGAGGAAGAACGAGCTAAACGAGAAGAACTTGAGCGAATATTGGAGGAAAATAATCGAAAAATAGCAGAAGCTCAAGCTAAATTGGTAAGTGTGTTTCTAAAATGGTACTTCTGGTAATGTTATATAAAAGGTACATTTTGATCTCTTTTTAAGCATTTTACAATAGGCCATTGGGGATATATCTTAAAGAAAGGCAAATCTCTGACTAGTGAAGCCTAAACATAGTGTGTTTGGTTCAATCTTATATTTATGCTCAAGGCTCTTCTCAGTAGTATGACTAACCATGTTCAGGGCCTGGTCTGACAAAGTGACTATTTCTCCTTGGCATATTTTCATGAGGCTTTGCCATTCCCATGTGGACTGTGACAAATCTGGTTTGTGGGAACATTATATTTCTGCCAATCTGCGGTCTGAACACTTGCTGTTTTCCATGTTAAAACAAAATATGGCAAGGTTTCCTGCACAAAGGAAGAGCTTCAACTTCTGTAGAGAATAAAATCTACTCAAAGGCATCTTTGCCTCTATTATGCACAGATACAATCTGTGCACAATCTATCCAGGTTGTCTTTGCTACTAATCATATTTTTGTGTAGCTAAGAATTGGGTTTGCTTAAGTAGATAGCATTGGCCAGAAAGTTCCATCTGCTACATGTGTTGTACAAAAAGGCAAGTCCTCTACCCAACATATTCTCCATCACCATTTGATGTAAAATTGCCATTGCTGATGGAATTGTAGGTTTTTCCTGTAATTTACAGCAACAGCTTGTATTTATATAGCACTCTTCATGCAGGGTAGCGTTTCAGATTTAGTGACTAGGTGGGTAGAGCGCTTAACGGGTGTTAAAAATATGATCCAACCTCACAGGCAACTTGATGAACCTCTTTACCAGACCTCTTGGCTCGCAATCTCTTCAATCTTGAAACAAAATTATTTTCAACTTAAATGAGAATTCACCTTGGCAGCTAAGTATCCCTGAATAGGTCAGGCCAGAAAATGCTCCCATGTGAGGACAGCATAGAGAGAGTTTATTGGCGTCTCTAACAACCTCGTCCATCCTTGCTCGATGCATTCTATCTAATTTTACAACATCACTTCCTCCAATGCTGTCAGGTTCTAGAACATGAAAGAGCAGAGAACACATATTCTCTCCATTTTTAGACTCTCCGCTGGAAAAGGGTCGACTAGCTTTCTCAGGATTCCTAGAATATGTTGCCTCAGGACATTTTGAACAAGATGTCAATCTATTGCTTGACGCTGCCAAGATGGCTCTTGGTATTGATGAGCTATCGTAAGATAGTGAGACCTGCATCTCTATCCATAACTACGTTTTTTTTCATGGTGCTGGAACGTTTGGGATTTATTATTGGTGAATAATAAACCTTGGGGTCTTGTTTGGCCCTCAGTTATCCTTTCTACTCCACATCTGCCAAAAAACAAGTCAATTCACTTTACAGTATATTCTGTGAAGGGTTTTGAGACATCTAGAAGACGTGAAAAGCACTATATCAAATGCAAGGATTATTATTATGACCCTCTCTGACTTCCCCCACCTCCGCAACGTCGCCCAGCTCTTCCACTGCCTCATACCGCAGGCCGCCGAAACACGCATACACGCTTTCAATACATCGAGGCTTGACTATGCAAACTCCTTGCTTGTCGGCCTCTCCAACTCCTCCCTCCATAGGCTGCAGATCATCCAGAACTCTGCAGCCGATGCCCTCTCCCGCACCAGGCTCCGTGACCCTATCACCCCCATCCTCGCCCAACTCCACTGGCTTCCCATCACACAGAAGTTACAATTCAAGATCCTCACCTTCAAAGCCCTCCACGGTCTTGCTTCCCCCAACCATTCTGCTTGCTCCCTCCGCTCAGTGGGCTCCAGCCTGCTTCAAATCCCCCACCTCGCTTGCCCCACTATTGGCGGGTGGGCCTTCTGCTGCTCTGCCCCCACCCTCTGGAACTCCATCCTACAGTCCCTCTGCCTGGCCCCCTCCCTTGCTTGCTTCAAGACCCATCTCAAGAACCTCCTCTTTGACCGTGCCTTCAATCTCCCTGCTCCACCCCCACCTCCACCCTCCCCACTCGGGTCCAAAACTCTGTCCAGCGCCTCGGGACGTCCTCCTGACCTGAAAGGTGCTATACAAATGTAATTTTGTTGTTGTTGTTGAATCCTGTTGTATTTCACGCCTGATCAGTCAGTCGTAGCACCCTGTTTGCACAGAGTAATATATTGCTGTCACTGTTCAGTTTTACAATCCCAAAAGCAAGATGCTTCCTGATTCAGGTGAGATGAAAGATAGGAATGCAGAATTATTTGCATATGAAAGGTCTCTTGGCATTTGTCATTGATGTCTAATAAAAAAAATTCTCTCCTTTGTTTCTCCTCCAAATTAATAGACATTGAGTTCAGGATTTCTTTAAAGGTTCATGAAACCGTTATTCAATGGTAGCTACCACTCTTGATATTATAGAAATGACCATGGTTATATTTTTCAGTTTGTTCAAAACTTTTAAAGTGACAAAGTCCACATATTAAAAGTATTCAAGGAGCAGGTACAGTGAGTTAGTTATTGGTGTAACATGGAGCCCTGCTCACAATACTTTAATATCCATCTGACTTAACATTATCTTTAATGTACTCCATTCCTCTGATATTGGTATAGTATGCTTTGACTGCTTCAAGGACAACACGTCCCAAATAGCCTCAATTCTTCAGTGCTGTGCATTTCTGTCATGGGCTGAGCATTCAACTTTAGGTTAATTTTGGAAGCAAAAAATTTGTCTTAGAATCGAACACACGACTACATTTTCATTTCACCTTTTGAAGAACATCTAGGATCACTCGACCAACTCCTTTTATATTGGTTCCAAATATTACTTGTGTTTTTCATGTATATAGTTGTTTACTTTTAATCATTGTAATTTACAGGCTGAGGAGCAATTGAAAATAGTTGAAGAGCAAAGAAAAATCCATGAAGAAAGGATGAAGCTAGAGCAAGAACGACAGCGTCAACAAAAGGAAGAACAAAAACTGATCCTGGGCAAGGGGAAGTCCAGGCCAAAGCTGTCCTTCTCATTGAAAAGCTCTGTTGGATAACTTTGTGCTTGTATTCATTTTCTCTTTTTTTTACCTTGTAGCTTCATGTTGAAGTGTTTTTGGGAAAGAACAACAAAGTTAGAATGGTCAAATGTGGGCTGTGCTCTACAACATTTCTTAACAGAATGAGAAATGTGATTTTAAAACTGAACTTCAAACATCCTGTTTATCAATACAATGGAACCCTGTATAGAGCATCTCTGATTTGCGAATCTAAACATTCTCCTAAGCAAAAATTCTCATCAGTTTTCAAAACAAATTGCCAGAAATAATAATAGATTGGCACGAAAAGATTACTGGGATCTTCATAGAGATGATCTTAAGATGGGTTCCGCTGTAGTTTATCTTAGCAAAACCCAATGTGATGTAAATGTTTAGTAGTATTGGGATGATGTAGTAATATCAACTGTAAATTAAACAATTTACTAACGGTGCCCATTTTAAACAGTTATGTTTAAAGTTTGATCTTTAATCAAATTGGTTGCCCCCCCAAAAACTGAAGTAAATATGCAGTCTGTCTGATGTGTTAACAAATACAATGCTGTTGTCGGCAGAATGGCTCCAAACATTCACAGGTAAGGGAAAATTTAACCCACCGATTTTGGGAAGGGGGGGGAATTGCCGTTTTGGATTTGCAGTACATATTACCTCTTCATGTTCTAATTTTGTTTTTATCATCTAGCACACATTAACCTGCTTTTTTCCCCATACTGTAAATGTACAAACTTCACAGAATAAAATACAGTCTTAAACGCATTCCAAAGCTGGTGACTGTGTGTTTATTAAATAAGCTTTCCGAGGTACCTTCACATGCCATGACTAATGATTATGTTGCATAACTGAGTGTAAGAAGTAAAGAATACTTGCAGGATACTAGAAGGGATTCTATTGAAAATATTTATAGAATAAGTGGTCATGACTAAAAAAAAAGTGACAATGTTGTGAGGGAGTTTTGTCAGATATACAAATATATTTGGTGGGAATTTTATAATCCTTGCATTTAATATAGCTCCTTATCGCATCATTGAGACGCCTCAAAGCGCTTCGCAAAATATTCTGTAAAGTGTAGTGGCTATTATTGCAGTGTGCACTTGCAGTGTTTTCTATTAATTCCATAGTTTGGTGACTCCTGGTGATAATCGTTGCTGTAATATGGTTTTCATATAGTTTGTGGAGGACTTCTGAAAGCTGTTCTAGATCTAGAAGAAAGAAAAAAAAATGTGTGGATAGGATTTCACCATATGTACCAAATATTTTGGTAGTGGTGGGGGAGATGGACTGAACCAATTGAAAAGACTAATGCAATGGATCAATACCTTTAATGAGCAGCTGGAATGTGTTCAGTTAAACTTGTGCGGGAGATTTGCAAATTTGTGCTCTCGAAGAATCTTGATGGCAAGCTGCTGAATCTGGAAATTACACAAGCATTACAAGTGATTTGTGTACGTCTCATTGTTGAGTTAATGGTTTGCCATTGAGTATTCTGTTCAAGCACAGTAGCGATATAAAATTTAATTGAATTCAATTTTATTACTGTACCATTTAATTTTAGTCTGGCCTGTTACAAATATGAAGGACCCTTTTTAATATATCCCATATTTTAATGTGAAACAGATCTTATCTCATCAAAGTATTTAATCTGCTGTCTTAAATTCCATTAGTAGGAAGTAAAATAAGAATTTATTAGCAGGTATCGTTCAAACTCATGTTTTAATAACTAGTTAAAATTTCTAGTTTCAAGACTTTGGGGCACTAGATATTAGGCCTAAATGTTATCCATGCCCACAATGCGGCAATACAACTGAGGATTGATTAAGTGGAACAATTTTGTTGCTTCAGTTCTTTCTCAACTTTATGAACTTCAACTGTCTTTGTAATTTCCATTCCAGTGAGTCACAGACAGGAAATTAGGCAAGTCTCTGTGACTTTAAAACATACTTTTTTGGGGGAACACTGAATGATTGGAATATAAGGAAGTTTGTCCTTGTACTAATGCTGTATAAGTTGCGAATTATTTGATTAAAAATAGTAAGAATTGTACTGCCCCAAAGGTGCTGTTAACTGGTTATCCAATGACTTCCTTGATTAGAAGCATGGTTTAAATGTTGATATGTATTTGCTCTGAAAAGATGGCCTCCTGTATTGGTTGTAGCATGTGGAAATCTGTAATGCATACTAACCTTGTTCATGCCTGCCAAATTACTTGACATTTGCTAGTATTATGTTCTCCGCTTTTAAGTATTTAATCATTTTTAACGAAATTAGTTAGCATTTTATTAACTGTTTCTTTTTAACAATTGCTCTTTGAGAGGATGCATTGAATAAAGTTTGTGATATACCATAATGCAACATTGTTATTTTATTTTTCCTGAATCTTAAAATTTCAACCTGGAATAGGTGGTCCCACACCTGCTGCAGTATAAAAGCAGTTTGTGCAAAGCTTTGTGTTGAGAAGTGCTTTCCTCAAGTGATAATTAACTTTACCAGTATCCTGTATTGTAATTTCCGTTTCATGGATTTAAAAGTAGATTAGCTCCCCAAATTTTAATTATCAAAAGACATACTTGTCAGAAGTGCTTACTAAAATCAGCAAAAGAGGAATGAACAATACTACATTATCCTATGGGAAAATATGCCTGGAATTACAACTTCCACCATTGTGAATGTGCAGTCGGTGAGTAATGGGGTTATAAGTAATGAAGATATATTGCATGTGTTTACTGTGGGGGAAAGGGGGAGAAATAACATAAAATAGTTGGATATTGTGTCCAGTTTTGGGCTCCTTACTGCAGAAAGGATATCGAGGCCGTAGAGCAGGAAGGATATTTATTTGGATGACAACCATTAATTCAATTTTATATATGACTGGAGAATATTGGGCTATTTTCTCCGTAATGGAGAAGATGACTGGGGTTATTGCAAATGAGGAGTTTTGATAATATAGATGTAGAAATTCTTTCCACTTGTCAGTGAGTCGCAGAAAACATCCGCCTTGCAGCCTCATCCTCCTTCCCCGTGTCCCCTACCACCCCCCACTCCATCTCCATCACCTACCCCGACACGTCAGCTCCTACCATGAACCCCATCCTACATTTATTGATCCCCATCTCTCTTTCCTCCCTCTCATCCTCCATCACTCTGATGAAATACACCACCTGCTGCCTTGACCCCCTGCCCACCCAGCTGCTGAATACCCAGTTCCCCCTCTTCTGCCTACTGCTGGCAGACAGCATTAATCAGTCTCTCTCAGGATCAGTCCCACTCCCCCTCAAAACTGCTGTCATCACCCCCCTCCTTAAAACCAACCTACCCTCGATCCCTGCAACTTCATGCACTACCTCCCTATCTCAAACCTGCCCTTCCTGGCCAAAGCTTTGGAATGTGTTGTTGCCAACCAACTTCGCTCACAGCTCTCCCTCCACTTCCTGCTCGAACCCCTCCAGTCTGGTTTCCTCCCTGTCCACAGAACAGTGACAGCGCTCATGAAAGTCACAAACTATGTCTTCTATCTGTGAAGAGGGCTCCCTCTGCCTCCTTGTTCTCCTGGATCTCCGCTGCTTTCGACACAAACAATCACGCCATCCTTCTCCACCGCCTCTCCATCATCCACCTCAGTGGGACCGCACTTGCTTGGTTCGAGTCCTACCTTAACCGCCAGCACTGAATTTCCGCAAAATGTTTTTTTTCTCGCCCCCGCCCAGTCATCTGCAGGGTACCGCAAAGCTCCATCCTTGGCCCCCTTCAATTCCTCATCTATATGCTCCCTCTCAGTGATGTAATCCGTAGGCACGGGGTTAACTTCCACATGTATGCAGATGACACTCAACTGTATTTCTCCAGCTGCGACCCTACCCCCTCACCCCCCCCCAGTCCTCTGATGTCAGCTTGATGGACAGACATCAAGGCCTGGATGAGCGCAAACTTCTAGCAGTTAAGCGCCAACAGGACAGAAGCCATACTCTGGCTCCTCTCAACGTCTTCCGTCCTGCAGTTTAGACCTCAACCTACCCGATCTGTCCTTGAAGTCCTTGAAGAGTTTGAATACTAAAATGCCCTTGTCACCGGTCTCTCCTCCACTATTCACAAAATTAACTCATCCAAAACTCTGCCCCCCGCATTCTCACCTGCACTAAACTATGCCCCCCGATTACTCCAGTCCTTGCCAAACTCCATTGGCTCCCTGTCACAGAGCGGATCGACTTCAAGATTTCACTCTAGTGTTTAAATCCCTCCACGGCTTGGCACCGCCCTATCTCTCCAATTTCCTCTATCCTCAAGGCACTACCTGCAGCCTCCGCTCTACTGGCTCCGGCTTCCTCAGCCCTCGAATCCTTCGCTCCACCATCGGCGACCGCACCTTCAGCCATTAAGCCCCGAAGCTATGGAACTCCCTCCTTCAATCCCTTTGCTTTGGCCCCTCTCCCCATTTTCAGGTTGAGCCTGAAAACCTTCCTCTTCGCGCATGCCTATAGTCACCTTCCCCTCCCCCTGGCTCAGCATGAGCTCCGGCATTGTTTAGCACTCTGGGATGTTGCCTGGCGTGGAGAGCACTATATGTAAATGCAAGTTGTTCAGTAAATAATGAAAGCATAGATTTAAAGTTATTACTAAAAGAGCAAGGGAAAGTTTAGGAGAAATTTATTAACACAGATCGTGAGGAAGGTCTTGGAATTATATGTGCGTTTCCCATTGGAAGGATATCTCAAAGTGCTTCACAGATTTACTATAACGTATGACTGTATAGTATTTTATTGGTGAACTTTGCCAACTAATTTGTGCATAGAAGTGTCTGACAAGCAGTTATAAAATGAATAACCAAATTTATCTGGGGGATTGTTGGCCAGAATGCTGGAATAAGTTCCCTTTTTTAAATAATGCCCTCGGATCTTTAACCTCCACCTGAACAGGAAGAGAGGATCTTGGTTAGTGTCTTATTCAGGGCAGCGTGTCAAACAATGCAATGCTCTCCCAGCACTGCACTGCAGTTTCAGCCTACATAATGAGCTCAAAGACTTGACATGGGTCTAGAACTTGTAACCTTCTGACCCACACGCGAGACTGCTATCAGCTGATCCAGTCTGAAACGCTTAGCTTTAGCTTTTAAGAGGGAAGTTGGTAAATATCTGTAAAAGGAGAAATAATAAAAGGGTTGGAGGTGAGTGGGGCGGGGGGTTCCAGGAGAATGGGACTAAACAGCTCTTTCAGAGAACTAGAACTGGCAAGATGGGCCAAATGGCCTGTGCTGTGCGGTATAAGTAATTTTTGTGAGGTATAAGTAATTTGTACACCAAACTGATCACAATTTTAGGCTTAATTTTACTAACTACTATTTTCCTTAATCAATTAAATTACACAGAAACCATAATTATCCCATTGAGGGAGAGTCATGTGGGAATACTATATCTTTAAAAGCGTTGCACCATGTGTGTCTGGTCAGTTGATGAAAGTACTCTTCAACCACTAAATTAGTTCTCAGTAATGAAGGTTTTTTTTTGCAGTTTTAGTTAGTGCAAGTCATCCAAACACTCAGCACACAAATTATGGTTTGAGAAAGTACTGTTGTGAAATTTTGGAAATGAGCTAAAAAGACAGACTTATTAAACATCACAAAGGCTTAGTATATCTACTAAAGCAAAGAGATCAGAGAAACTCAACATGAAGAACATCTGATGAAACCAACAGGATTTCAGTGTCTGGAACATTGAGAATATATGCAGAACTCTGAGAGAAACTGACAGTGAAATGGCAAAGAAGCA